TGACTTATCGTGGGATTAAATAAGTAATAAGGTGAAAATATTTATAATCCTCTCAGAACTAATACCTGGATAAACAGTCTTAAGTCTTCACTTATCTTAATGGTTGCATTCTTTAAAAAAGTGTGCGTGCTGTAGGCCATTCAAGTTCTTATGTCAATCAATTGTGTTAAAAATGTTGCTCGGTCAAGCAGGTAATAGATCACGTCATCAAAAGTTCAATTCGATAAAATAAGAGTGAAAATAGTTTAAGTTGAAAGATATTGTTCACAGACGTATTGTTTGTAAATTTTACTAGTTGTTGATGATAAACATTTTAAGGTGTGAACATTTTTAAGTATTGATCGATTGAGCAGAAGACCAACTCGACTAGTGCGACAACGCCTTAAACAAATAAGATATAAGAGCTGGAACGAGCTTCTAAGACCAACCCACATTTCTAACTTACAATGCTGATTGGTTGGATAAGGATCAGCCCACTCTGGTTGATGACGTCTGCAAGTTTCCCTCAACCGTTACTATAAAAGGGCGTGCACAACACCCCAACCTTCAGTGGACTAGCGGAGTAAAAAGTAAATGAAACGTTAGGAAGTTCAACCTTTACAGAACCAACAACCTTTACAGAACCAACAACCTAGAGTGGACTAGCGATTCCAAAAAGTATATGAAACGTTAGAAAAGATATATAACAACTTGGTGGAGGAACGGCTCTAAAAAAAACCTCGCCTATGTACTATAGTAAGAACGTGTGAATACTGGCCTTGCTGAAACGACCTGATGACTGGTTCGAAGGAAACGCACGTTCTGTATTCATCAATACTTCTACTTATGGCAATGCTAGACTTTGTTTCATTTTTTGGTTATATGTTCAAAACAACTGTCCACAACCTCTACACTTCCCTAGAACTACAATTGAAACTACAGTCGCTTTGCCCTCAGTCTGCAGTCCAATACGAGTTTGGCGACATGTACTCTCTCTATCCGAACATGTTGGCTATGTCGAAGATCCAGCCAAAGAGGCACCAATGGAAGCCTCCGTGGTCGTGTACATTCATGGTTTAGAGAGTATGAATCTCAGAGTTCTCCAATCCTTCCTAATGGTCAGAATGCTTGTATTATGGACATGAAACTGGACGCATTTTAAGATTTGTATAATATAAGTTTTTGTCATTCTCATGTTACACGTATATGTTTATCATTTGTTTGTTTATGTGCGATAATATTAAACACGGGAGTATAGCTGTTCAACTAAAATTCCTTAGGTACACTCAGCATGCTGATTAAACATGTGCCGTAGGATAGCGCATGCATGTTTTTAATTGGGTCAGTATATAAATTTAATTCTGACGCTTTTAGTTATGCGTCATTCGTTGATAATATATTTTCCTCTTCCCCCGGGACAGTCAATGGTCTCCCAAACTTGTTGTAATGGATTATAATTCTTTTTCGAGCCAAAAGCTTAAACATTAGGCACATTCTTGTTTTCTCTATGTAGACTCGGTATTTATATTGTCGATGAAAACCTACATTTTGGAGTTTGGTTTGCCGTGCATGACGTTACGTTTAAAAAAGTAAAATGAGTTTCAGTTATATTAAAAAGTATACGTATAAAATTTGTTTGCATAAGTTGAAATATTTTGAAGAATTATTAAGACGTATGTATAGGTTTAGGTTATTATTATGGAGAGATGTTTTGTCGGAAGAGCTTTATAATAATTTCCTGTTATGTGAGTTGATCAACCAAAAATCTGAATACAATTTTCGCCGTTGCAATGATAAGGTATTTTATGAAATTTGAATAATTTTTGGTACACTTTCTGACTGCGTCTACAAAATTTATCATTTTGCTTAAGTCCCTGGTACATACATTCAGGAAAACAGGAAATTTTTACCCCTTCTTTTCACACTAATTTTGGTTTAATATTGCTATATTCTGACGTGTTTAATATAATTATATGACATTATAGTTAGATTACCCCTGAGGTGCATGTAGGCATAAGTCAATTATATTTAGATCAGTTGTATCTCGTATAATCGATTATGTAGTGTCGTCGTAAAATAACAACACGTACTATGTGTATGGTTTCAGTTATTAGGCATTTGGTAATATACCCGTGATAGCCACGCCGAGCTCAAAAAAAAAAAAATAAAGATAGTTGGGAATTTGTAAACATGTTATATACACACATATCTATGATACTATTATATTTAGTCCACTTAAGTTCATTATAGCCACTCGAAGCTGGGGACAGCTTCCCGATATATTAATATATATATATATATATATATATATATATATATATATATATATATATATATATATATATATATATCTATATATATATACACCCATTTGCAAAAACGTTGGCCGCAGATAGATAGATAGATAGATACTCGAAATCTAATTAGAATTGCATATGTTGTGTAATATGATTGAAATCCCATGCAAATGTAATCATATGCAATTCTAATTAGACTTCGAGTATCTATCTATCTATCTATCTGCGGCCAACGTATATATATATATATATATATATATATAGTATACGATTACGACGACAGAAACATTTCAATACCGAAATCCGAATAGATGCTGCGAGCCTGTGAATCTGTGATGCTGTTATATGTCAATACCATATATGGTCAGTACTGGGGACCAGTCGATAAAATTCATAGGCTCAGATTGCGATCACACATACACCGCGCGTATATATATATATATATATATATATATATATATATATATATATATATATATATATATATATATAATTGCAGTAAAGACAGAAAACTAAGGTTGCATAATTACTACAGCGCTGTTTCGAAGGAGCAAGCTCCCTCTCATCAGGTGTATATAAGAATTTATTATTAACAGGCACGCCTTAAATACATCAGAGTCTAATTTACATGTTAGATAGAATCTATAAGTTCTTTAGAAGATATTTGCTAGCATGACGGCATGTGCTTGTAAATTCGTTCCTTTTGTTAAGTGAGCATAAGTTTGTTTTGCAAATGATGTAGTATTTCTCCAAGAGGCATAAGTTGCAACGCTTCGTGGCGTTTGAATACGGGGCGGCTCGTGCGATGATCTTCCAGCTTACTTTGAATGGTACTCCGTCATCCTTCAAGGACCAGATAAACTTACTAAGCTCGGTTGCGTTCTGTTTGTTCTTGTGCCTAAATGACGCTGTATGATTTCTATATCTAGATTTGAATTCATCACTAGTGAGACCAATATAGGTTTGTTTCTCATTGTTGCTCTCGACGGTTGCTTGATAGATTATGTTCCTTGTTAGGCATTCGCCGTTTAAAGGGCAGTTATCTCTGGATCTGCAGTTACATAACAAAAGGTTCTGGATCTGCAGTTACATAACACAGTCACTTAACAAAAGGAACGAACTTACAAGCACATGCCGTCACGCTAGCAAATATCTTCTAAAGAACTTATAGACTCTATCTAACATGTAAATTAGACTCTGATGTATTTAAGGCGTGCCTGTTAATAATAAATTCTTATATACACCTGATGAGAGGGAGCTTGCTCCTTCGAAACAGCGCTGTAGTAATTATGCAACCTTAGTTTTCTGTCTTTACTGCAATTATATTATAGCTCTACTTTACAGTATTGAGCAGTCTTCGATATACGAAAACCATATTATTGTTTGACTATATATATATATATATATATATATATATATATATATATATATATATATATATATATATATATATATATATACAGCCGCTGTGGATACAGTTACTTCTAACTGCATGCAGAAAATAAAAACATTTGAGACCCCATATCGGTGATATCGCACGGTACATGCTTACATAACTTTTAATTTTTACCCTATAAATACTTGCGTAAATGTTCGCTTATATAGCATATAGATCTTTCTAATATTTCAACATCGTTTGGTTTCATTTGTGCACCTGAACTTAAATGAATCTTTGACTTTATGAATTTGGGCTTTGAAAATATATCCCAAAAGAACAAAATTTCCATTCATTAAGATGTTCTCGCGCTTACCACGAACACGCAATAAACACGCAACTAGACCCAGACCTCTCACGGTTGTAATGTTAAGTGATTGGGTTACCTGTGTAAATAGGGAGATAATATCAAGGTGGATAGAATAATGGAAAAGTTCGAAAGGTATTGTAACCCAAGAAAAAGTTTAACATTTGAAAGACACTCTTTTTTTTCAAGAAATCAACAGGAAAGTGAGACAATAGATGCCTATGTTACTGAGTTAAGAAATAAAGCTTATAGATGCGAATGTTCTGACCTTAAAGATGGACTAATACGTGATAGAATTGTATGTGGGATAACTAATGACTCGGTGAGAGCACGGTTGCTTAGGGAATCAGATTTAAGCCTGGAGAAATGTGTAGATATTTGCAGAGCAGCTGAAATAAGTGCCACCCAGCTAAGGGAGCTCAATGATGAAAAGACAGTACATGCAGTCCATGTTGAAAAGAAGATGGGTGTTGTGAGGATGAGATGGGGAAAGAGGGCATATAGCATCTACTGCACAAAATAAAAATATACCGCCAAAGGGGTGCAAATACTAAACTTTTTAGAAATTGAAACAGAGGCTTCTCGCTAATTTTTCAAACAATTTGCTGGTCAAATAATATTTTTTAAATCATTATCCGTCAAGCTTAGCTAGGTATATAGCTTATAACGAAGAATGTTCCGAGTTTCCATATACTCAATATTTTGTAACCACGAAATAAAAACAGCACTTATTGAAAAATTAATAAAAGATTTTCAATACAATAATTCCATGACGATAAACTACCATTTCAATGCAAATTTTTAAATCACCAAGCACTGTAAATATAGCTACTTAGATACATAAAAGAGGTTGTCCTGCACAAACATCCCCAATCATTCACAAGTTTATCATATTTAACTAGAAAAACAAACGAAATTAACGAATCATTATTTGGATATATAGAATGATCTCTCTTGATTAAATACATAGAAAAAAGCCATGCAGTTGAGATAAATGTAGCTTTGTTGGCCTGTATATTCATTCACTGCTGGTCTTGGTACCCTGACCTACAAATGGAAATTAAAGAGAAAAAGTTCATTTTAGGTTGGAACATTTTAATCGTAGCTATGTACCTACATGTGCATCATGACATCATATTCTCAAACAAAACACGATATTTGGCAGAGTGTTTGAAGCATTGACCTTTTTCTTTTCTTCTATTTTTTATAGTAATTTAAGTCTTAATCAAATTAATAATAATTGGTATAACTTTCTCTAAGAAAAAGGGTTATTGTTGACCAAACGGTCAGACATTTTTTGTTGTCACATGTACCGATGTACGATATAGATAGGACCTGCGAAAACACCGGTATAAAACAGTAGCTACAGCAAAAAATACAGACACAGTGTTAAAAATCAAACGTAACATTTATAAAAAATTTTGCTTTTGGATAACGAAAGGGGTTAGTATGCTTATGAGAAATATTTCATTTACCATCTCGTGCTATTTCTTCATTTACAATGATAGGGTCATCAAAATCTTCGTCTTCGGTTGTCAAAGGTAGAGCAGGAGTCGCTTGGGCTAAAACGATTTTTTTTTCAGAAAGTTGTGACTAAAAATTGCCCAACTTAGCACTGACCAAATTACCCAAATTTTGGTAGAATTAAGAAAAAAACTGGCAAAACTGTTCTTTTGTAACTGTTTAAAGTGATTCTGAAATGATAATGTTGCATGTGGAATAGCGTGACATTATCTGGAATAATTTAAACTTATACTTTTGAATATTAATTTGGCTTCGGTAACTACATGCATTTTTTCAGATTATTGTTTTTAAATTTATTTGCCTTTTACTACATGCTTACCTTTAATAATGAGAACATTCAATGAAGAATGTTTAGTCATTGGTTGGAGTCGAACAATTGATCGTCCATTAATCTCGACAGTTAGACTTGTTCTAGCATCGACCGCACTTACGATCATTGGTTCTTCTACCTTGCTTTTCCTACTCATTACCACTGTATTTGTTGCGTTGAGATAAAAATTTTCCAGCCCACTAGATATATTTGTCGTAACAAGTACAGTACCATGATAATTATTTACCACCAGGAATAGAAAATGAAATTTACCTTCGTCTGGAAAGGTGGAAAAGTAATCTGCGGTGACTTTGAATTGTCATTGATATGTTTGATTGAATAAACGAACCTTCAAAGCAGTGCCATAGCTAGAAGCTTACAATTGCATGAATGGCGAATATTCGTATATTTATGGTAAAGCAAACGTAAAAACAATCCCATCAAAATAAAGGCGGTTTTTTGTTGAAATACCCGACCACTACGAATGTTATTATAAAAACTAAACGACAACATTCCTCAACTCAACTCAAACTTGATTCAAAGCTCTTAAGCTGCATTTATGTATTATTATCAACGCCCTCATCGGTAAGTTGATATCACGTGTAGTACGTAGCTGGTGAAAGTAAAAATATTTAATTGATCATATTGTTTTCTTACCTTCCATTACGTTGAGAGGATCATTTGTCGACGGCACAACAGGACTTGTTTTCGCTGAAACAACTTTAGCTGTCAAAACGTTGAGTGGAAGAGGAGTAGTCGAAGCTGCATTAGCTCGGGGTGATGTCAATGTAGAAGTTATTTTCGTAGTTAACTGTGCCACTGTTTTTTGTACTGGAAAAAATGAGTGAAAATGATTCATGAATTTTACCAGGTTTTCACCCCAAGCGGGGAAATGGTATGGTCGTATTAAAAAAGTGAATAATATTTTTCATACAACGAGCATACCATTACAAAGATAAAGTATAATTTTTGAAAAATCCCGTCGGTTGTAGCCGACTTAAATACAGCGATGTTTTTTTAATAATTTGGACACGAACAAAAGCGATATCTCGCATAATTATCAACTAACTACCAATTTCATGTATATGATTGCTCATTTATTTAATCGTATTTTAATTGACGGTCCCTCGATCGTCACGCGCAAATGAGTGCGCGTGTTAATTACAATTTAAATTACAATTATTGCCGTTTAGATCTGTATATAAAATTTCTTATAAAATTACATATGAATACAATCAAAGCAGCTAACACTGCACTGCTCACCTTGGATAGTCAGAACTCTCAGTGATACGCGTTCCTTAGATGTAGATTGCAGATGAATAATTGATTGCCCATTGATGTCGACCGTTTGGTTTGTACTAACATCGACAGCACTTAAAATCAACGACCTTTCTGTCTTCCATTTCTTACTTTTCACAACTCTATTTCCTGGTTTTAAATTAAACTTTTCCACCTTGCCAGACACGTTTGTCGTGACAAATACATCACCATGATAGTTATTCACCAGTACAAATACGAGAAAGAATTTATTTTCGTCTATATAATTGTGGAAAGGAGACGGTGATGTTTTGCAGTGAGTTAGGAAGTTACTACCGGTCATATGGGTGTTTATACAGGGCAAAAAATAGTTTGAGGATCTTCAGAATTCCGCAAATTTGATCCGTACAAAACATAACTACTGCCCTCAGATCGGGATCAAATTGGTCCAAAAACGCATTGGTAAAAATTAGATTTTTAATTTACCTTCACACTGTCTTTGATCGTATGCACCATTGTTAGCAGTTTGAAAACCTCCAGGGCACTTGCTGCAAGATATTTGACCAGGAATTGATTGATAAAACCCTCGCGGGCAGGTAATGCATACTGCAATACCATTTTCCATCGTGCCATAAAAGATCCTGGTGGACAATGGGCTAAAAATTAATGAATAATTATGAACAAATATTTATTACTAAAATAGCTAACACACAATTACTGAATTTTGAATAATTTTTTTTTCGATAACCAACATGCAACAGAAAGTCGTTTCTATATGCGAGTGAAAATAATATGCTGTTACTATACCATACCGCATTTATAGACATCTTCGATGAAGACTTGGCCTTGAGGACACATAAAAGATATCTTTGTAATCCCTAAAGAATTTTTTGGTGCGGAAAAATTAGAGTTATCCAACGAGAATTTAATTTTGCCGGCATTGGTGTCGTTTCCCAATCCTCCAATAACCTCTTTAAGCCTGGAAGTTGACCTGATCATTTCATTGATCTGTTGCGATGGTGGACTATTGAGTATGCTCGAGGTCACATTCTCCCCAATAACGCTGAATGTCCAATCACATGTCTCTGTGCGGCTAAACCTTTGTGTGACATCTTGCGGAATTTGTTTGCAACTAGTTGGATTGAGCTCCTTAATTATTTTCTCCAAAGATTGCGTGTCGTTATCTGCGGTTACTAAACGAGAAGCTAGGATTTTAGCCAGTACATTTTTATAAAAAACTGCTTCCTTTTCACGAGACTGAGATATAACTGTCAACGTTAGCTTAGCAACTGGCACCGGAAGACTGTACTTTAACACCTTGACAAAACTCTTTCTTGAAATAGAGTTGCCAAATCGATTTGAAACGTTGCAAAAGTACCATCCTTCCTGATAAGATTTTACTGGAGCAAGACTAAGATGAGAAAATATTTCATTTGTCAGTGGCACGAAAGGACCAGAGTCGAATGAATTGAACCACCACTGATAAGAGATGTTGCTCGTATCCTTTTTTACTTCACAAAAGAGTGTGGCATATTCGGATAGAATAGCATTGAGACGATGAGGAGGATGACGAACAATTAACGGTGGAGTACCAATAACAACTACCGCAGGAATTGAAGATGCGATCGCCACGTGATTCGAAACATCACAAGAATAGTTCCCAGAATGCAATGGACTCACATCGTTTATTCGTAAAATACTTTTTGATTGATTGTTCAAAATTTTACCGTTGAACTTCCATTGGTAAACGAGGGAATCTCCAGTTGCATTGCACGTTAAAAGAAGTGTGTTATTTATACCCAGCTCAATGAATGGCCTAGGATGTTCTGTGATATTTGGAGCTTGTGCACACACGTTTTCTACACCAGTTATGTTTTCCAAGGATTTCAAAATGTTCCATGATGTAGTTACCGCATCACTGACTGATACGTCCGATTGTCTTGTTAAATTGACGAACATTTCCTCTACATATTTTATTTTTTCCGTTAGTCTGTCTGACATAAGAACGTTTGTTTCGAAAACAATTTCTAATAAGCTGTCAATAGTATACTTCAGACAGTCGTCAAAACCACTGCACTCGTCAGAGAATTTCAGAAAAATACTTTCCATAGTCGCTAGCCAGTTTCTGTAGAGCAATTTCGAGCTTAAATGGACAACATCAAACTCGTTCTTGAGAGCTTGGACTTCAAAATGCTTTGCCTCCAAAAGTTCTTGGTCATTTGCAAGCACATTTGAGTAGGCATCGTAATTAAGAACCATGCCTAATTCCGACGCCTTAGTTTTATTGATCCTGAACTGTTCGAAAATGGCGCTGTTGTTTGAAGTTAAAGATCTTTTTCTTTGTGTTTCCTCTTTAAGAAGATCTTGATTCTCAGAAGACAAATTATAAAGGGACATCGCGGCTTCGTACAAAGTTTGCTTGTGTTTACGAAACTCCGAACATAATCGATGGAAACTTTGTAAGGTGTAGAATTTTGAGTCATCCGTTGATACATTTTTGTTTTCTGCTGAGCGTTTCCTTCGCGATATACGAGATACATCTCCCACATACTCAAAAAGAATCTCTTTCGCAATGCTTCGTAAAGAACGGTTTAGATTGGTGAAATCCAGCACAGTCGAGACTTGTTTGTGTTGAGTGCCATTTAATGTCGCTGTTATATTTATAGGAAGCAAGGTAGCATTGTGCTCTGAGGACACTCTGACTTTGAACTTAATACTTTTAATCTCAAATCGCGGTTTGCCTTGTCCGTTCATAATATGTCGCAACATCATAGGCTTTGCTAAAATTTTCCATTTTCGTTTTTGATTTTCCACTGTGACATTGAAAGCTTTCTCCAGGCTACGTTCGGCAGCCTGGTATGCATTTAAAGACCGTGACGCAGAACGAACTTTGCTTTCCATAATTTCTTTCTTCATTTTCCAATAAGATACATTTTGCCTAGCATTGTCCAAATTTTCAAGTATTTTTGCGGCATTTGCTTTGACATTTGAAATCTGTTCAAGAGCTTTTCTCCTTGCCGTTTTACAAAGAGCATTTTCAGTCAGGCAAGTGACATTGGCAATAAACGACGAACAGGAAACAATGGAGCAACATGATTTTTGTATGGTTTCCTTGACGTATTGTTCATCACAAGGCAAAACGCATGTGTATGGATGATCAATGTACTGGTATTCGAACCTTTCCCTGGTGCACTTTTCCTCCCTGAATTCACATTTCCAGTAACCCTGACTTTTGCCTACTAATGACATAACACCTGTAACGGCGCCGGCCACTTTCCCCGCAACATTTGCTGCTTTACCAAGTCCTTCTGGTAAGTCTTTGAGCAAATCCTTAAGTGAAGAAATAGCATCTTCTTTCAAGGATGATAGCTGAGTTTCCAATTCTGAACGTATTTTATTCTGAAATGAGGATATACCATCGTTAACAATATCGTATGCCTCCTGTTTCAGACCTTGGACCCGACGTTCGAGAGTTCTAAAGGACGATATCTGTCGTGCGATATCACCTCTCAGGTGTGATAAGGACGGTAACAGTCGTTTTAAACCTAAAATATCTTTTTTAAAATTCAAAATATCCTGTCGGTTGATACCACTTCTCAGTTGTGATATGGTTGGTAACTGTTGTTTTAAATCTAAAATATCCCTTTTTAACTCTAAAATATCCTGTCGTTCGCTACCATCTTCCAGGTGTGAAAAGGACGGTAGCTGTCGTTTTAAATCTGAAATATCATGTTTTAAATCTAGAAGATTCTGTCGTTCGATACAACCACCCAGGTGTGATAAGGACTGTAACTGTTTTTTTAAATCTAAAATATCCTTTTTTAAATCTACAATATCCAGTCGTTCGATGCCATCTTTCAGGTGTAATAAGGACGACGGTAACTGTCGTTTTAAATCTAAAATATCCTGTCGCTTGATACAACTTTTTAGGTGTGATAAGGACGGTAACTGTCGTTTTAAACTTAAAATATCTTCTTTAAAATCTAAAATAGCCTGTCGTTTGATATCAGTTTTCAGTTGTGATAAGGACGGTAACTGTCGTTTTAAATTTGAAATTTCCTTTTTTAAATTTAAAATATCCTGTCGTTCGATACCACCTTTCAGTTGTGATAAGGATGGTAGCTGTCGTTTTAAATTTAAAATATCCTGTTTTAAATTTAAAATATCCTGTTCGATACCACCTTTCAGTTGTGATAAGGAGGGTAACTGTCCTTTTAAATCTAAGATATTCTTTTTAAGTGCGGATACATCTCTGTTGACAAGTTGAAACATGATTTCTTTGAAAGGTGAGATCGCTTCTCGCAAAAGTGATAATACTTTGTCTCTAAAAGATGACAAAAGGTTCTTTATTGGATCAGGTAACGGTATCCCCCTTTTTCTTCGCCGTAGTAGCCGTCCTTTGGCTTTGGTTAATTTCTTTAGTTGGTTTACTTCATTTAAAACAGACTTGATCTCTTCGTTAACAAGTGATTTTATTCCTTTCTTAAAAGAAAGTATATCCTTTCGAGTCGAAGAAATTACATTTGTTGTGAGAAATTTTATTTTCTTCATGGCAGTTGATATAGAATTTTTCAGCAAAGAGGAGTCTCCCATTATTGACAGTAAATTTCGATCGCCTTTCACAACTTTCGTACCCGCTTTAACTAAATCAGTTACGAGTTCTGGTGCATCAACGAGAGGTAAAAAACTCGCGCCTGCTTCGAGGATTTTACCAAAGTCCGGTTCCCCTTTCTTGACACTAATTGCAAATTGTTGAACTTTTCTTCCCACATTAAAAGAAACTGTAGGAGGAATTCCTGCAAACATTCCTCCAATACCAATTGCAAGACCTAAAAGATCTCCAAAAAAACTATGTACTGTGTGAATCCTTTTGCAATGCTCGTTCAAGCAAATTTCGACCTGTTTTAATGGAGGTATTCGTTTCTGCTCTGTCTGATGGCACGTTGCAGGACACTCTTCCGTTTTTTTTGCGGTTACATATTCCCAACAAGTTTCACACATTCTTCCTTCCTGACATATTTTCGGACACTTTTTTAATTTGCATAGCTCGTCTAAATCTTGAACTAGTTTTTGAATTTCGCTGGAATAGTCTTCGGCTAAGCGCATAAGTTGCTCTAAATCTTTCTTGGCCAGCTGCAAATTGTCGTCTACTCTTCCATGCTCCCTAATGATTTTTTTCATCTTCGCTACAGACTCTTCCCGAAGAATCTTAACATCTCCAAGACGAGATTTCGCTCGTTCTCTAGTTTCGAAAGACAGATCGAGTCTTGCTTGTAGTTTTCTCAGAACCTCTATACTACATCTTTTGAACTCTTTTTCTAAAAGACTGTTGATATCATCACTTCTTCCTGCTAATTCAATCTCTCCCGTTGCTGTGTACCTTTGATTCTTCCAATCCGTCAAGTCCGACTGAAATATGGCAGACACATAAAACAGCCCATGGATCTTGCCCCTGCCATGAAATATAAGTCCGTCTTGAGAGATATTAACGTTTACGTGATTTTGAAAACCAAGGATGTTAACCATGGCCGTAAAAGATCCCCGAGAAGCCGTACTTTTCTCGTGCCCGATGTGTAATCTCACGACTGAGTCAGGTTGAATTGCAAATATGCCAAGTTCTCTTTCATTACCTTCCATTTCCAAATAGCTTCCACTTAATTCTGTTACACCACCCAATCGGTGACTTTTTTCCTTGTCTGGGGAGCATCGTGGATTTTCAATCAACAACTTTATATCCAAATTGTCAAACCGCAGGGCATCGAATTTAAGATTTCCATGAAAATTAATAAATACGCCATTACTTGTTTCTCGATAGTGGGAGCTGTTACTTTGCTTTTCAGTATATAAGATTGTACTAAGGAAGCACGACACATCCTTAGTG